TCGCAGGGCACACAGAGACAAACAACCATCCACGCTCACACTCAAATCTCGGGACAATTTACAGTGTTCAGTCAGCCTGCCATGCATGTTTTTGGAATGTGGGAGGAAACCAGAGTACCCGGAGAAAACCCATGCAAACTCCACACAGGAAGGCCTGAGCCACGATCGAACTCACAACCTCTGCACTGTGAGGTCGACGCGCTCACTGCTGGACCACCGGGCCGCCTGCACTGAGGCCCTGATTTGAGAATTCTACTTTAAAAACAAAACAAAACAAAACAAACAAAAAAAAAAAACACTGCAATGTGCGCTTCATCGTAAAAGCATGTCGAATGTTAATTTGTGCTTGCATCCAGTGTTTTCACAGTTACTTAAAAAAGAAAACGAAATTGCCACGGATTACTTCAGTTGAGTTATTTTACTGATTACTTGATTTTAAAAGTAACTAAGTTCGATTATAAGTTACTTTATTAGTTAACTGTCAGCAGATGCCGACCCCACTTGACATAAAAATGATACCTCTCTCACTGGTTTCTCGTCCGCAAAACGATATAAATATGTCTCTGGTTTATTATCTAGGCTACATTAAATAATATCTATAGTCCTGTATTTCAAACCTGTTCATCACGCGTGGTGGCAGTTACCTCTTTTGGGTCACCTGATGCTTTTCTCACGGGATTTGCATTTGCAATTACAGGATGCTGTTAGTTTAAAGCCAATAAACAGGAGATTAATTAAGCATCCTGAATCAGCATTTATTGGATGAAGTCAAGGCCGCTCAACAGCTGCGGGCATTAAAAACAAAAAAAAAAAAAGAGAGAGAAAATTGTTCTTTTTACCTCCGAAATCCCACTGAGGGAATTCCTCACATTCCTCGGCAGCATCGTCCCCTCACCTTCAGGATTCAACTGTCTCAGAATCACACATGGTGTTCCTGTGGGGGCCTGCCATTTTGGTGTGTGTGTGTGTGTGTGTGTGTGTGTGTGTGTGTGTGTGTGTGTGTGTGTGTGTGTTTGTGTGTGTGTGAGATGGGGGGGGGGGTGGATGCATTTAATCATCTACATAGCCCAAGGCATCTCTCCACCATGACCCACTTAAAGCCAAAATGACGAAGAGAGTGAGAAATAGGGAAAAGTGGGACATTAAAAGTAGACATCTTCGAGGTACTGCACGCACACTCTCGCAAAAAGTGCATGATGGCCCTATCGATGTTTACCTTGCAGAGCTGCTTGCGATTTCTCGTGCTCTGATAGACAAAAGTACAGTTGCTCACGCGTCCATGTTTTGCATGTCCTGATCTTTAGAAGCAAAGATCCTGAGCTCTTCGTGGGTTTTCTCCGGGTACTTCGGTTTCCTCCCGCATTCCAAAAATATGCATGGCACGTTAGTGGAACACTCTAAATTGTCCCTCGGTATGAGTGTGAGCGCAGATGGTTGGGAATCACATGTGGTACGCGGAATATAAGATGTTAATAAAACTATAAATAAAACTGGTTAATGCAAGGAGATAATGGTGAATACTGTGAAGTCATAATGTTGAAGGGCAGCACTTGATTAACCGCATGTTGTCTCTGCCAATAACGGAGGAAGAAGTGCACGTAAGAGAGATTTTTTTCTTTTTTGTTTCTAAATATAAAATGCCCTTGAGACGAAGTGCCACCTAAAAAGAGCAGAGCTTAAATACTAGTTGAAGAGTAAAAGGAGGAGGTGGAGGAGAATGGCGGCGTAACTTTAGAGAGCCCAGAATTTACATAGAAATAGAAACGATTTAAGTGTAATACTTAAAAATACTTCGAGACTTACAAATAAATAAAAGGTGCATTTAAAAATATATATATCTATCAAAGTAATGCTCATCTTAACCAGTAGTGTGACTCATTTGAACAGCCTGAAATGACATTTTACACTCAGCACTAAAGGTAAATAAATAAAGCGCATGGACCGGGTAGACGTCATTTGCAGAAGCTGGTCTGAGACGGAGAGCTTTGCACGCAACTTCAGACGTCATATGCATGCTAAATATTTGAACTTATAGTGCGGTGGATCGGGAAGACTAGACATTTACCTGTACATAAAATTGTAATTCGGTTTCTCTTAATGATAACGAAACAATTTACCACATTAAATTATTGATCTTTTATATGAAATTGCCACTGGTCTGTTGGGTCTTTGTTGAAGTAAAAAACAGCAACAATGAAAATCCTGTATAAAACACGGGTGTCAAACTCAAGGCCCGGGGGCCAGATCTGGCCCGCCATACAGAGACGAACAACCATCCGCGCTCAAACTCACACCGAGGGACAATTTAGAGTTTTCCATGAACCTGCCATGCATGTTTTTGGAACTGGGAAGAAACCGGAGTACCCGAAGAAAACCCATGCAGGCACAGGAACATGCAAAATCCACACAGGAAGGCCGGAGCCGGGATCAAACCCACGACCTCTGCACTGTGAGGTCGACGCGCTAACCACTCGAGGGCCGCCCTCTATTGTTATGATTATTATTATCATCATCATCATCATCATCATTGTTTTCATGTATTTACAATATGTAAAACACTTTATTTAAGTTGTGGTTGTTTTATTTAAATTTAAAGGTCGCCATAAATAAAATGGAGTGAAGTTGGGTTGCAAGGAAGGAGAGCAAAGAATGTGGAGTTGCTGTATTATTAATTGTCGCAAGATGTCCTGAAGTAGTGGAGGGAAGCGTTGGTCCATTAGGAGCAAGTTCCTTCTGTGGCTCCCACTCACTCTTTTTTTTTTTTGTGTGTTTTTTTTTTTGTTCAAATTTCTTTCTAAATGTCGCTGCGTAATTTACCGCATTCTGACTTGATCCATCGACCGATATTTAAAAACAATTCTTTCTTTTTATGTCCATTCCCACAGCACCTTTTCAAAAGCTCGTTGACCAGCCACACACTAACGATATGATGATATGTCACACACAGTTCACGCGCATTGAGAATTTATCCAGGTAGAGCTGGTGCAGGAATAATTGGGAAGACGGCACCAGCAACAGCTGTGAAAGCTGGAGTGACAGACTGGCCCAAAAAATGGCCTCATTCAGTCACCCACCTCCCCCAATCCCCTCCCCCGCCGTACCTGCTTATGCAGTGCACGCGGGCGCACGCCCGTGCATGCGCTTGCGTCGTCATTTAGATTCATCTTTCCGTTGGCGTGGGCATATGCAGTTGTGCACCACAGCTTCTATGACCGCGCTGAATTGTGACATGAAAGATCATGCATTATTTACTGGCAAATGTTGGCTTTTTTTTTTTTGCAATGGTTTGTTTACATTTCTTGGTTCATGCACCCCCACTCCATGAAGTTAGTGGAAGTTTTTGGCAAAACACACTCTAAAGTCAGGAATAAACTCTAAAAAGCCGGCTAAACGAACCACAGTAAACCCGATGACTCTTTACTTTTCTGTTTCAGGAGACACCGCCACCTTTTTAATATTTCATCTTTCCCACTATTTATATTTTAAAAACTGCCATGAATTATTGAGAACATCAAGTGCAACCCTTCGTATTTGGCTGTCGCGCAGCGTTCTTGTCTTTTGCAAACCAACAGTCATCTGCACTGTCATCTTAAAGAGTTCGATTCTTTCGTAGCTATCCCCAATGTTGTGAACAGCAAGTTACGGTACTGTGTGTGTGTATTACAGATACCAGTTACTGTTTTGGAATTAATGCAAATAATTATCCATCTCGGCGGCCCGGTGGGCCAGTGGTTAGTGCGTCAACCTCACAGTGCAGAGGTACCGGGTTCAATTCCAGCTCCGGCCTCCCTGTGTGGAGTTTGCATGTTCTCCCCGGGCCTGCATGGGTTTTCTCCGGGTACTCCGTTTTCCTCCCACATTCCAAAAACATGCATGGCAGGCTGATTGAACACTCTAAATTGTCCCGAGGTATGAGTGTGGGTGTGGATGGTTGTTCGTCTCTGTGTGCCCTGCGATTGGCTGGCAACCGGTTCAGGGTGTCCCCTGCCTACTGCCCGAAGACAGCTGGGATAGGCTCCAGCACCCCCCGCGACCCTAGTGAGGATCAAGCGGTTCGGAAAATGAACGACCCTTGTGAGGATAAAGTGGTTCGGAAAATGAAATGAATGAATGAATTTGAGCACATTTGTTATTTCTGAAGTGTGTCTCAAACTGGTAGCCGAAAAACAATCCAGCATTGCGTACAATGGCTTGCGAAAGTATTTGCCCCTGTTGGGCTTTTTGACCTTTCGTCACATTTCAGGCTTCAAACATCCATCCATCCATTTTCTGGTCCGCTATATTTTATTTCTGAAGTGTGTCTCAAACTGGTAGCGCTTCGCATTAATCGCAATGCAAGAAGCATTCTCTCAGGCTTTAAAAATGTTGGTGACCCTTGGTTTACAGGATAAACATTATATTCTGTATATTTTTGTTGTTGTTGACAACTACACATCATATATAATAATTTAATTTTTATAGATAATGACTGATGAATGTCTAATTTTGTGACATACAGCTGCTGTCCGTCTTCCCTTTTTATTTCTCTACCTAACACACACACACACACACACACACACACACACACACACACACACACACGCAGATGCACACAATTTTTTCTCGGTCTAAATAACATTAGCAGCCAGCAGTAGTAGCTAAATATAACCCCATGCATTATCTTTAGGTCTATCTCTAGGCAGTAACACAGTACAGTAGCACGACCAACTGTATTCCCCGAAGACCCTGAAGGCATCATGCCGACTCAATGCAAACGAGTCATTTTCAATCTGCTTGTCTGCACGAGTCAGACGCTTCCTTTTTCCCCATCAGTTGATGATAGCCACTGAAGGTGCACCCTTTTGCAGATCTTCCGCCTCCAATTTTATGAATGAATGTGACCTTTCTTTGTTACTTCCCCATTTGCTTTTCATGGAAAAATGTTTTGACGGACTGAAATTTATTTCTGTGCATGGATATTTTGTGCAGGCTGAATTACATTAATGCGTCGCTGTCCTTACCTCAACCAGATGTGGTGTCGGGTTGAAGCCGCACAGGTTGCACACTTGAGTGTGGCATTGCGTGCATGAGTTGTAGTTGGGTGGGTCAGATGTGTTGATGTTTAGCTCTGTTTTACACAGAGGACAGTTCGCTTTGGGCTTCACTGGCTCCGGAGCTGCGGTGGGAGCAATTGCAGGCTCCTGCTTTAGCTCCGCCTTCTGCACATGTGATGGCATTTGTCGGTGTTGCTGCCCTTGAGGTTGCTGTGGATCTTTCTGTTGAAGGGAGGGCGACTGCTGTTGCGGCATTCCTTGTTGTTGGGGTACAGTCTGCTGCTGTTGCTTTGGTGCGTGCGGCCCTAACACCTGGCTCGGTGCATGCGGACCCCCCATTTGGCTCGGTGCATGCGGACCACCCATTTGGCTCGGTGCATGGGGGCCGCCCGTTCGGTTCGATGCACGAGGGCCACCCATTTGGTTTGGTGCATGGGGGCCACCCATTTGGCCCGGGACATGGGGGCCACCCATGCCAAATTGTTTAGCACCTGAGACCACTTGTTGTGGCGGCTTGCTGTCAGAGGTCGCATTACTGAACACCACCTTGCCTCGTGCGGGACTGGGATGAGTGGAAGAGGTGGGCAAAGGGTCCACATTGATCAGTGTACTCGCTTGGTTGAGCAAGGAAGCTCCAAAACCAAATAACTTGGTCAGTCCATCCTGGGCTGGAGGATGAGCTTGGGTCTGGGGCTTGTGAGCTGGAGAGGAGCCAGCGCTTCTGGTGTGGTCATGGTGCCGTGCCATAGACTGGTGCATGGGAGAGCCACGACCCAAATCGGGTTGAGAGGGTGCTTTTGTCAAGCCAGGGAGGGGTACAGCACCAGGGTGGGGGATCCTTGGGCCACCAGGTTGGTTGGGGCCTCCTGCAGAACCTCCACCAGCTCTTGGACCTTTCTGGGAATATGAGTCAGATCTCATACCCTGATGAGAGGGACCCGTCTGGCTTTGGGGGCCACTGGAAGAAGTGTGACTGTGTAGGCCTTGTGAATTCTGAGGCTGTGTCTGGGGCCCTGACTGGGACTGTGGATAAGGCTGCTGCTGAGCCTGCGGATACTGCTGAGTCTGTGGATATTGCTGGCCCAAGGGTCCAGACTGTGACTGTGGATAAGGCAGCTGCTGCTGTTGTTGCTGCTGCTGCTGCTGCTGCTGACCCTGAGGTCCGAACTGTGATGCTGGGTAAGTCTGCTGCTGAGCTTGGGGCACGGATTGCGACTGTTGGTAAGGCTGCTGCTGAGCCTGCGGTCCAGATTGGGACTGTTGGTAAGGGTGCTGCTGAGCCTGGGGTCCCGACTGGGACTGTTGATAAGGCTGCTGCTGAGCCTGGGGTCCGGATTGGGACTGTTGGTAAGGTTGCTGCTGAGCCTGAGGATATTGTTGAGCCTGGGGATATTGCTGAGACTGCGGATGCTGTTGGGAGTGATGGTACTGTTGAGAGTGGGGATACTGCTGAGACTGCGGATACTGCTGGGACTGTGGATGCTGCTGGGACTGGGGGTACTGTTGGGGCTGGGGGTACTGTTGTGAATGGGGGTACTGCTGGGACTCGGGATACTGTTGGGACTGAGGATACTGTTGGGACTGGGGATGCTCCTGGACCTGGGGATAATGCTGGGATTGAGGATACTGCTGAGATGGCGGGTATGACTGGGACTGGGAATATGTCTGTGACTGGGGGTATGCTTGGGACTGTGGATATGGCTGTGACTGAGAGTAGGACTGATTCTGTCCATAGAGTTGAGTTTGTGGTTGTTGCTGCTGCTGTTGCTGGGTGGGCTGGCTCTGTGCCACAGGTTTGGGCTGTGCTGCAGTCGTCGGCTGTGTTGGCTGAGGTGCAGCCTGCTGAGGCTGGACGAGAGGTTTCGCTTGGTGGGACGGCGAATGGATCTGTTGCTGACTCTTCGAGCGAGGAGTGGTCATATCAATGCCAAGAGCCCTCTGCATCTGACAGTTGAGACACAGCCATTCCTGGACCTGCAAACAAAATCGAGAAAGGATGTTTTAACAGCACACTTCATCTCAGCTATTAGCCTTTGAACCATTTGTTTTTACTGCAGTTGAGAATCAATACAGTTCACAGAGTAAAATACGAAAAATGATACTGTGGCACGTTATCCGTGCTTCACTGAAAACACCATTCACCATAAACGTTCTGTTATGCTATGCTTACAAAGCAAGTGAAAGTTTGAGTCTATTCATGTTGCTGTTTTTTTATAAATTCAGTGAAAAACTTCATCTCTGATGCATTAAGTGTACCGGTGTACTCACACCCACAATCACACCATCGCTGAGTGGTCCCCACGCTGCCCGCACACAACTCAGGCTAGCGTACCGCGACAGCATCAGCGACACACTTCACATAATGAACACCGCTTTTAGCTCCAGTAAAAACTGATTCAAAGCCGCGATTGGCCATATGTGGTCGTCAAGAGATCGGAGCAACTTGGATGAGAAGAATTTTAGTGTCGCACACATCAATCCATTTGGCCACACAGACACAGCCAGACGTAAACGAGACACAAACGGAATGAGAACGATTATGAAATGAGCCTCACCCTTCGTCCTCCCTCAACATCACCTCTCCTCTTCCTCCAGATGACAGTTGATGCTTAAAGACCTGGTTTCCCCTCGCTTATGTCTTCTGACAAGGAAAAAAAACAAAACCTCTCGCCTGTGAAAAATCTCCAATGTGAAGTGTGTCGAGCTGCTCGCGTTGCGTCTGTCCTCCCAGCTTTGCTTCACCCGCTAAGACTCAGCAAGCATACAGTAAAGACCGCTATTTTAGCATCTCTGCAGCTTGAGCACAGCACTGTAAATCTCTTCACATTGCTCCCATCCCCTTCCGTTCCCACAATGCAGTGCGCAAAACATACAGCAATCTTACACCCACCCGCCCCTCCACTGGGTGAATCGCCCTCATACTGTTGCTCCAACACAATCCCCCACATTGACAGGATGATATAGAAAGTAGCAACATAATATTACAATCACTGCAGAATCAAACTGCCTCCAGGGCTAGTCTTGTACCAAAGTGATAACTTTACAAAAATAATGCTGCTCAGTTTGAAGTCATTTACCAAAATGCTTATTATTATAGTGGGGTGGAACTGTGCTGCATTAGTCTGAGAATTGCGTCGAATCTTATAGCGCTCACTCTTAAAGCTAAGCGTGGTAACTAAAATGTGATGAGTTGTCAGTCAGTGTGGGGGCCACACATTAACCCGATAACATGACAAACTGTCCACTGTAGTAACCGCTGTCCCTGAAAGGGTTTACTCATCTTGCATTAGCAGGGGTGTCAAACTCATTTTTGGTGCAGGCCGCATTTTAGTTTTTCTTGCAGGAAGGTTGTGTATCTGGAAATATAACTGCATAAAGCCTCCCGTGACTAGAATTAGGTTGTCATGGCGCTTTCTACGTCATGATGAGCGGCATTAGCCATCAGCTAGCTTGTGAGCTAATCGGTAAAAATAGCTAAGCAAGATTTGGCGGATAAAAATTGATGTGCTATTTCGTGGGGAAGGGACAACTCATGTCCTACACCCAAGTGTATCACACCGTGAAAAAAATGAAGGAAACTGAAATAAATGGTGGAAAAACATTTTGTTGCTTTGTTTCCACAATGGAGTATGTAAATTCAAAATTCGACTATATAGGTTCTCAGTCTTCATATGTTTACAACAATTATCTTCAAATCAGTAGGGGAAAAAAAATCTGTGAATTGGCTTTAAATGGAATTTAACTATGCTGAAAATGATTATTTAATTTTTAAGACGTGTGACACAAATATTCGTCCTCAGACATGCGTGCCCACACACACACACACACACACACACACACACACACACACACACACACACACACACACACACACACACACACACACCCTTTTGCAGTGGTGATCTTTCCACAGATGAGCAGCAGTGATGACAAAACAATTAATGAAAGTGTGCTCTGATTGTCACAACTGTCAAAAATAGTGAAGCCGGTATCATGGAGTCTCAGCTGACAATGGGAGTGGGCGGCAAAGTTTAGCATGACTCTATAATCCAATATGTCATTAATTAGCCTGCAGAAACAAAAGAATATGCAGAGGACAGGGAGGTGGATGGAAGAAGATCCGATCTAAGAGCCAAAGCGGAGCACTGGAGGGGAACTCGCTACCGCTATTAGAACTCTTTTGAAGCCATCCTCTCTCAATAGCTCGCGTTTCCTGCTCACTGCTCACAAAATGGCAATAGACGAATGAAAATGATGTCTAGCATTGATGCGAACAGAAATGCAATGGATAAGATCCCTGTGAAACGGTGTCTTGTTGTGGTTACAAAACAAACACCGTTGGTGGCAAGCGGCAAAGAATTCACGTCGGTGGCTTTTTAAAATGGACCCCGAATGTCCCACCAGATGGTCAGGAAGGAAAATATCCCACATTGTACGGTGTCGAATTCACCCAACAAGTTGCACAACACATCAGAGTTTGAATCACTGTCCCGCATGAGAAAACGCTCTGTAAACATCAAAGGATGACTTTTTCTTTGGCTTCTGCATTCCTACGGTCGCAACGTAACCTCAAGTTGTATGTAAATCACAACATGCTGTCATCTATTACTAATCTAAACTACGGCAGTAAGAAAGTTATAATTCCAGTAAATATTTGCCACATGACGTCGTATTCTTCAAAAGCCACACAAATAGCTTCAGTGTGTCCCATTTGTAACCTCAAAACATCTCAGTGTACGTCATGAACCAAGAACCTCCTTGTCCCTACCCAATGTTCTGTTGCTTGTATGTTTTAGATCTGTTAACTTCTTTTTACACTTGGTTTACCCTTCGAAGCAGCAAAGTGACTGCCAAAAAGTACAATCAATCGCACCCTAATAAAAGGTTGATGTTCCCTTTTACAGACACCGTGGTGCCAGGAAGAAAGTAATGACATCTCACCTTATTCGTTTTCAAGGTGTCGTCATCAGTACAACTGAAGTGCGATCATATCCACACACTGTTACCATGCCGCACGTCACAAACACGAAAAGCATGCCTTGCGTACAATTTCCAATGCAAATATTTCGTGCGCCATCGAGGCGTGTATTTTTGAATATGCATGAAATGACAGCATACGGTCTTGCTGCTACAGGGCCATACATGCTGGAAGGTGTCCAACGCCTGTTAAAAGGTAGCGGTCCTATTTGTATGATAAATGCTAAACTTCAAGGGCACCTCAGGACATTTTAATGGCCCCTCACACATGAAAAACATCTTGCAGTTGTTCCCGCGTTCATCCGTCCAAGCTAAAACAGTGGAATTTGACAGGATTAGCAATCTAAATGGAAATAAGGGTCTCGTTTAATCAATAGAAGAATGTCCCCGTCAACATTTTATGTTTAACACGTCAGGGGTTCCCTGACTCTCGCTCAGCTGGACGCAAAGCTGACATCGTCACTCCTTGTTGGGTCCCTCACTGGTGCATCTTTTAACTTGGGTTGTGTAGATTTTAAATTTGGTCTGCTCAATGGCTCCCTCTATCGTTATAAAGTGGAATTTGTATTTAAGTGGTAAATTGCTAAGGATGGTGGACAATGGGGCTAGCAAGGCCTTCTCACAAGCACTGACCGACATGTACAACCCAAATTCTAATATTTGTTTCCAAAAGGGGGGATATAATTAAATGTTGAACCGTTTCTTCTCTTTATTTCCTTTACAGTGTCCCTTCACTTATCGCAGTTAATGGGGACCGGGACCCTGCCGCGATAAGTGAAAAACCGCGATGGAGCGTTAGCTCCCCCACTCGGAATTTTTGTGTAAGTGTATGTGGTTCCCAGCATGTTTCAAATATGTAAACAGGATTTATACTTTAAATATTTCGGACAAGGACTACAGCAGTACACACATTTACTTAAATCTTTAATTATACAATCTTATACAGTAATTAACATTCATCAGCATTGCCTTTTGAGAGAGACAAAGTGATGATACACTGATCCGAGAGTCCACAGCTGATGAGACACTGATCAGAGTCAACAGCGTGACTGGACACTGATCAGAGAAGCAACCACGTGATGAGACACTGAGCAGAGAGTAAACCACGTGACTCGACACAAGGGAAGGTGCTGGGCGGGGCTGCGAAGATGCACAGCCAATCAGCTCACGGGATAAATGCACTCGTGCTGTCATTGGTCGAAGTCGGCGCCGGGAACCATTCATGCATACAAAACCTCTGAGTCATTCGGCATTTTTTTTTCTGAATAGAGTACTTTGGAAAAAGAAAAGTAGTCAAGCCACGATAAATGAAGCGCGATATAGCGAGGGATCACTGTATTTCCTTTCATTAGTATGCGTATGCAGATGATGGATTTTTAGCCATGTCGCTCTAATCTAACCGGGGCATTCAGAATCGGTAACGCGACCAATGCACACTGTATGCATGGGGAACACTCAAGCACGCACACTCGCGACTGGCCACGCCTTGTGCACTGCACATCTCCACAGGCTCCCGCAGGATCCACATAACTCCTCCATCTCCAGACACCCGCACAGCATTTACGTTAATAGATCTGTCTATCAAAGTGCCGTGTTTGGCTCTTTGACTCAGGAAGACAAGCAGGCAGAGAGAAGTAGAGACGACTGATTGATAGTCAAGGACTGGTCCGGTGTTAGAATGAGTTCACAGGTTTGATCAAGAATGGTTTCACTGATTTTGATTTTTTTTTTTAAACTTTTTTTTGAATCTCTGATTGAGGCATTATTTTCGACTACGTTATATGTGGCACTGTGAAAAAAAATACAAATATTCTCTATAACTATGAGTGTATGTAAAGCATGACACCAGAAGACTTTCACCTTTGTTGATGAGAATCATTTTTTTGCATTTTTTTTAGGGCTAGAAAAAAATTATAATCACGGATCTTTTTCTTCTGGTATTGAAATCATGGTAAATAAACCTTTATTGACCTAAAGAGATTTTTGTCTCTCTATAA